AGCGGGGCGCTGACTGGACTCCCAGCCCAGAGTAGCTGCTCCCACGAAGGCACGAGGCACTGCACCCTGTTTGGGTGGCACGGGCACGTTAAACGCCGCACATTCAGTCTCTGGAAGCTAAGTGTATTCGCAGAAGCAAAACGGATTTCCCTCCAGATCCCATTTGTTGCAATAGACCTCGCTCTTAGAGCAAAGAAGGCAAGAACCGGGTCACGGCCCAAACACAAGGGAGGCTTATTTGATTTGTTGCCCAGGTAATGGTACTCCTAGGAGGGCCCCCCCCCCGTGTCCTGAGGAGCCCCCTGCTGTCATTCAGGCACCCAGGATCAGGGGCGGTCCAAGAGCCATCTTTCTTCCAGACCACCAGCAGAGCAGGGCAGGCTCTTAGGGGCAACCCTCACTCCCAAGTCCACCTGATTGGCCAGAACCGTCACATGGCCATACCTAACTGCTAGGGACGCTGGGAAATGTAGTCCGACAGTGTGTCCAGAAGGAAGACAAGTGCAGAGACCTCTTCCACGCAGGGCGGGTCCAACTCTATGCCTGGGACACCTCCTAATATTTAACCTGGTCTGAATTCATCTGAAAGTGCTACTCTTCACTAACATTATAAAAAGGGAAAACATGATTATAAAAAGTAAAGGGGGGGGGAGGAAAGAATCATTCCAGTGGGCAGTAAATAGAACAGTGAATGTATTGCTGGACAAGAGATGTACTTTAATTAAATGCTTTCTTTCAAGTGCGTACTAAATGGCCACAATCAGTAACAATCTCTAGCACACGTATTCACATGTTCCCACACAAAACCCAGCCTAAATTCTTTATATATATTGGTGGTCCCATACAATGACATCATTTCTAGTTTCCCAAATTCTTAATGAAGCAGGGTTCTATAAGGAAGCGGGGGAAAGGCAGAGGAGACCTTTCATTCACTAGGGCAAGCTTTACGCGTGACCTCATTTAATCCCCATGTTAGCATAGCAAAATGGGAATGATTGTCGTGTGACAGCCTGAAGGATTAAGGATTAGAAAAGCTTAGGGACAAAGGGCAAGATGCAACCACGTCTACCAGCACTGCCTCTTCCAGTAGCAAGCACCTTCCCTCCAAACCGGAACCACTGTGGCCAGAGCAGGGGGCGGGTGACCGGCCCCTCTCACCTGCCTGAACAAAGGAGGGCTCCTCTAAACTGGCAGAGGTCCCTGAAACCTCACCTTACCTTTCAGATCTGCTGATGCCAAAAACTTATCTTCAGGAGAGGAAAATGATGGCGGATGAGTGCACGGGCATTGGGGAAAAAACACCCAAAGCTATGGTCTCCAAGACCTCCAGGGAGGCCCTCTCTCTCCCTGCCCAGAGAGCTGCACCACCCACTCTTCACGACCTGCAGCAGCAAGGACACGGGACACTGGAGACAGCCTCCAACAGGGAAGAGAGAAGCCAGAGCCAACAACACGCAGCAGAGCTCAGCACTTGAATCCACGCAGAAAAACATTAAAAACAACCACAACAACTAAATAACCTCAACCACAGGAAACAGGAACCACGGGACACGATCCGTCTGGTATCAAGAAGCAACAAAAAAGTTCGGAAATTGCAAACAACCAAGAGCACAGATTTCAAACCCAATGGAAAACCTGGAAGATAAAGTTGCACAAAAGTCCCCTAGAAGCACAAAAATACAGAGAAATGAAAACATCAGATGGAAAAGCTGAGAGCTAGGTCAAAGGGTCAAGAAACAGAAAGGCCGGCCCTGGCTGGTGTGGCTCAGTCGACTTAGCACCGGCCTGTGACCCATAGGGTCGTGGGTTCAATTCCCAGTCAGGGCACAAGCCTGGGTTGTGGGCCAGGTCCCTGTAAGGGGGTGGGAGAGAGGCCGCCACTCTTTGATGTTTCTCTCCCTCTCCCTCCTTTCCCTTCTCTCTAAAAATAAAGTCTTTAAACAAAGAAAAAAACCCTTTTCTAACCAAAATGATGATGTAAGTGCTCACAGGCAGGGTGGGAACCCAAGAAAGGGGCACGAGTAGTTAGTTTGGTGGGAAGGAGGTGTGGGGGCGGGACGGCTGAATCCCTGTCTGCTACAGCAGGAAGTCACTAGTTACTTCCAAAGAGAGCAAACAAAAGTAGCAGCAGTGCAGAAGGTGAGCGCATGCCAACAGAAATCGGCTACAAAGTTTCAATGGCTGTCTCCAGGGAACAGGAAATGAGCCGGTGCGCTGACAACAAGCCGAGGAACTGTCTGATTATTTAAACTGCCCGAGAACCACGCCGATAAAAACAAAAGCTCAAAAAGATACACTAACAGTTTGTCCCTGCCCTTCTACGGCAAAAATGTTGACTTTAACCCTCTCAGACCCTCCCCTGCCTGGGCTGAGGTTGACCTTCACACTTTCGCCTTTGATCTGAACATCTCAGTCCCCTCGGCCCAAAAGAAAGATAATCTGAGAAACTTTCCCTCTCGTCCCCACCCACCAGAGGCAGCTAAACAGTCCCTACCACTAAATACGCCAGAGATTAAAAAAAAAAAAGACAAACAAAACAAAAAACAGCCCAGGTCAAAAATGATACTTTTGATTTGCACTTCAGGACATGCTGGCTTTCCAGAACAACCGGATTGGTTTGAACCTAAAAGAGGGTTCGTCCAATCACTGTTTTGTTTTGTTTGTTTTTTTTAAACAAAACTCTAGTGTCCTTCTACTCAGCTACGTTCTCCCGGAAAAGAAGCTAAAGAAGCTTCAATTTCACAGTCACCCGGTGGAACAGAACCGGATCTACCGCAGGAGAATGCCAACGTCAGCTCCAGGAAGGTAACAGGGAAACAATTCCTCCAGGGTATTACTCCCTTTGTTAGGCACTGGCCACATTTTTTAAAAAGGCCAAAGACCCGTGACCCCTGTGACTCAGCTGGTTGGGCGTCTGGGCGTCGTCCCAGAAAGCGAAAGGTGGCTGGTTTGATTCCCAGTCCCGGCACTTGCCTGGGCTGCAGGTTCAGTTCCGGGTCGGGGCGTGTACAAGAAGCAACCTATTGATGTTTCTCTCCCTCTCCATCTCCCTCTCATCCCCACCCCCTATAATAAATAAGTTAGTAAGTAAATTTCATCCCATTAAAATAAAAAAAGAACAATCACATCAGCATGCAGCAGCCAGCTCTTTCCCGGTCCTTTCCTACAGGGGGGAAGGTGTGTTTGCTCCAGAGAACATGTCTTGTGGAGTTCCTGCTGCAAGAGCTGCCCTCTCACCGGGCCACGGGGCTTGAAAGTGAAAGAAGACAGACCTGAATAAAACGTCTGTTCAGCCCTCAAATCCTTAAATGATCCTGCCGAATGTTTACACTGTGCCCAGCGTCCAAGAAAAACTCCACAGAGCCCGGAGAAAGCCACAAGCCCGGGTTTCTTTGCTCACTGACACAGAACCACCTTGGCCAGGGGACAGCCTCCCAGGGCTTGCCAAACAGAAAGCCCGGGCCCTCTGTGAGAAGGCTGGCATTCCTTTGGCCGTGGCACAGACAGCTGAATCCAGAAACCCCAGCTCCTCTTGTGGGTGGAACACTCTTTTCCTAGGCCTTTGATGACCATGCTCTTCTGCAGTTAGCTCTCGGGCAAACTCGTGTGAGTCTCTCCCAAAGACAACTGTTGGGACATGTTAAGAAACAGAACGGAAGCCGGGAGAGCCAATACATCGTGGTGGAGAAGCGAGGTGCGCGTCCGGCTAAGTTAACGTCTCCGTGGAAGCCTTCTGCGCGGGGTGGGACCCCCACGCCCCAGGCACCGGCAGGGTGGGGAGAACTGCCCGCCGATTCCCAGCCTGCGGAGCAGCCAGGGCAGAGTTCCCCCTGGCCAAGGCAGGCGCTGGGCTGGGACAGGGCAAGACAGAGAGAGACCTGAGTGCCCGCTGGCAAGCAGGTGGGCGACGGAAAGGGTCTTGGAGCACAGGAAAGAAAACTCACCTCTTCCCCGCCCCCTGCCCCGTAATTCTCCTGCACCCCAGGAGCCTTCAGAAGCACACTCATCTGACTGCGCCTGACAGCACAGCACCCCCAGCACCTGGTTTTGCTGCATGGCGGGGTCCCAGCCCTCACCACCAGGGCCCCTTGTTTCTGCCCGGCCCTGGAAAAGCAGCAGCGAACCTCAGGGCAGGGTCTCAGGCAGGCAGGCGCTCGACCCAGAAATGCAGCGAAGCCCCTGAGGGCCTGCTCCACGAGGGACACTCCCTTCATTCTCAAAACCCTCAGAGATCACCAACACAGGACTGGGCTCTTGGGAGCACATCTGAGAACAGCAGGGACACCCTGTCCGGATCAGGGTGTCCGGGTCGCCCATGACACACCACGGCCCTACACAATGAGGCTCCTACTCAAACCTCAGGACACGCGGCACATCGCGGGCCAGTGCCTCCCCCCCACCACCCGCCACCCACCACCCTCTCTACCCTCTATCCGGAGATCTGGCCATGAGTTACACAGCACATTTGCCTCCTGGGCAGTGTGAGACACTGCTTCCCCCACCCCCACCTGCCGGGATTCCCTTCGGTCAAACGAGAAAGAACATTGCAGGACTCTGTCTCCCACGCACTGAAAGGTTTCAACAGTCTGAAGCCCCATGGGACAGTGAGTCGGGGTGGGAGGCATCCCAGCCCACAGCCCCCCATGTGCTCCAGGACCCCCCCAAAGGCACCCTGAAATCGGCCCTGGAAATCGACCCCTCTAACGGTGCCAGAGAGGCTCCTGTCATCCTGAAACACGCGGTCTCCTCCAAGAAATGCCGCAAGGAAGGGCTGGGGCTTCATTCCTTCCCCGGCACAAACATTCCTGAGGCCGCAGGGGGCCCCAGGACACCCAGCTGGGGCCCTGCATGCGTCCCTGGAATTCTGGCCCCTCCGCTGACAGCTCAGAAATCAGCACCCCCCCTCGCATTCCTGACCCCCACGGAAGTTCCCCTTTGCTGGAGAGACAGAGAGACGAACAGGCAGACAGAGCAGGGTCTTATGTGTCTTATCTACTTACAGGTCCCGGGAACACAAACCAGTGAAAGTCTCGGCGGGACAGGGACAAGGACAGGGACGTGCCCCTCCCAGACAGCACAATGGATAAGCAACTGCTGTCTTTCCTAAGCCTCATCCAATGGCCACCCGCAGTGGCAGCCAGGGGCACTTCACACAGGTGCTCCAAATGTCCGGAATGCCACTCCGGGCCCTCGGTGTCCCCCTTCCCTTCCAGCGAGACCCGGAGAAGGCCAGTCCCTACCCAGCAGGGCCACGCCGACCTAAAACACAGCCAGTGCTGGGCAGCTCCTGCTGGACTTCCTTGTTCCAGCTGCAAAAGTGCAAATGAAGCAAGTATTTGTTTGTGTTTTGCCAGGTAAATAAAGCCTGTTATCAGGGCTGCAGCCTGGGAAGAAAACAGTCCCCTAGACCCAGTCCCTGGCCATGCCAAGGGCCCCCAACCACAAGCAGGAGATCCTACAAGGCCAACTCACGAGCTTTGCAAGCCTCAGAGCAAAGGTGGGGGAGCCCGACCCACGGTGAGTGTGGTGAGGGCACATGGGCAGTCTGGAGACTTTTTTGGAGAGCGGGTGCCCGGGAATCCAGGCCGGGGATGCCCTCAACACCCTGCCTGCCACGCACAGGGCAGCCCCACGCCAAACAACCACGCAGCCCAGCGTGCAACAGGGTCAAAGTTTAGAATCTGGCACCCCGTGGAGGCCTTCCCAGTGGCACAGCAGCGCACCCCGCACAAGAGCAGACAGCAGTGACGGCACAAACTACAGGGATGTCCCAGGTCCAGACCTGGTCCTCGAGCTCCTTCTCCACACTGGCCAGGGTTGCGGCCCGAGGGCACGTGTATAAACCGCACGCCTCCGCCTCCGCCGACGCCTGCAGACCGGGATTGGAGCAGCCGTGCTCGGACACGCCTCCCAGGTCCGAGGTGTGGGCGGCTCGGGTTAAAATGAGGAGGCCTCCGGGTCAGAACAGGAGCCCACCTCCCGCCAGGTCGGTGCTGTGAAACCGGAACTGCGTGGTGCGGGACCTCGGAGCTAAAGACTGTATTTCTTTACCTCTAGAAAGAGGGGAGGGGAGGGAGAAAGAGCAGGAGACAAACATCCATCAGTTGCTCTCAACCAGGAGACCTGGCCCACACCCCGGAATGTGCTCGCTGGGGATTCGAACCTTCTGTGTGCGGGGCTGACAGGAAACCAACCCACTGAGCCACAGCAGCCAGGGCTAATCAGACTTTTGTAAAGGCACAATATCTCAAGCCCCGGTCAAGTGGTCCAGTTGCTGGAAGCGGCACTCCATGCGCCAAAAGGTTGCAAGTTCGATCCCTAGTCGGGGCACATACCTAGGTCACCAGTTTGATCCCAGTTGGGTTGCCCACGAGAGGCAACCAATGGATGCTTCTCTCCCGTACCTCATTCACTCTTTCTGTCTCTCTACCCCTCCTTTCTCTGTCGCATCAATAAACATATCCTCGCTGACAGTTTAAAAAAAGTGCCCAAAATCCATCCGAACAATCACTACCCAACGAACCCTGAGGATTTGTCTGGAGCTGTAAGGAAAGAAAAGATGAGAAGCTGGGATTAACCCAAATTCTGGTGGTGAAACGGTCGCCCACAGTCTCTATCACAAACGGAGCCCATTTCCATGTGTTCCAGGTAGACACACTCCGCCTCATCCTTTTCCACTAACAAGACTCTCTGGTACCAGCCATGGCACTGTGAGCAAGTATCACTCATAACCCACCCAGGAGAAGAGATGGCTATGTGAATAATACGGGCACTACCATGCAGGGTGTACATGCGTGAGCACGTGTGTGTGCACTTACGAGTGTGCAGGAAAACTCAAACAGAACTCCCACACGGTTCTGAAGCCTCTGCCGTGAATTGAGCACCTCCAGCCTGCGAACTGAAGGGTCGCCGGTTCGGTTCCTGGCCCCGGCCCATGCCTGGGCGGGGAGCACTGGAGAGGCCACCAACTGATGTATCTGTTGCACAGTGATGTTTCTCTCCCTTTCTCCCTCCCTTCCCTCTCTCTAAAAATAAATAAAAGCAGCAGTAGTCCTGGGTATTTTTTAAAAAGCAGCATTTTAAGGGAGGGACATTATGAGCACCAAGAAGAAGACTCAAACACGTTTTATTCTGCACAATCCTGACGCACAATCCGGAGAGGCTGTGTGCATGGACTGCTACTACGCTGGCCACAGAAACTTCCCCCAAAATCCCTTAGCAACTACCATGGGGACCCCACCCGCAGGCCAAATCAGGAGCAGACCGCCCCAAAGGCCCCGGGCTGCCCTGTCTCCAGTTTCTAGGATGGGGGCCCCTTGGACAGGGAGAATGAGAGCCCACTCTGGGCTTCTTAGAACTTGGGGTGCCTGCCACCAGCTGGGTGGTAGACTGATCGGGGTGATCTATTTGTAAGTTATAAAAATGTCTAATCACTAACTTATATACCTGGAACACATGTAGTACTAAATGTCAACTGTAATTAAAAATCTAATAGACGATTAAGCAAAAAATTTTTTTTTCAAACTTTATATATTTATTTGTAGAGAGAGGGGAAGGGAAGGAGAAAGAGAGGGAGAGAAACATCCATGTGTGGTTGCCTCTCACACTCCCCCGACTGGGGACCTGGCCTGCAACCCAGGCATGTGCCCTGACTGGGAATCCAACTCTTTGGTTTGCAGGCTGGCGCTCAATCCACTGAGCCACATCAGCCAGGGCACAAAAATTTTTTTTAAAAAAAGAGGTGGGCCGTGTCCAGTGTGGCTCAGTTGGTTGGTGGTCACCCTGCAAAGTCAAAGGTCACCGATTTGCTTCTCAGTCAGGGCACACACCAGGGTGATAGTTGGTCCCAGCTTCCCAGCACCGCTTGGGGGTAACATCTTGTCCACTTTGGAACATGTTGGAGAAGCCACCCATCCATGTTTCTGTCTCACCTTGGTATGTTCTTCCCTCGCTTTTCTCTCCCTTCCCCCTCTGTAAGAATAAATAAAATCTTTTTCAAAAAGAGAACTTGGGGTATGTATACAAATGAGGAGGTGCTTTGGGGTCCCTTTGGGGTTCTAGCAGCTTCTGGTAAAACAACTAATTTTTTTTTAGAGAGAGAAACATCAATTTGCTGCTCCACTGAACAACACATTCATCGGTCCTTGTGTGCGCCCTGGCTGGGGATCAAACCCCACAACCTTGGGGACGACACTCTAAGCCACAGAGCCACCCGGCCAGGCCTAAAATAACTCCATTGTAAAGTGACTTCCAGCTTTGTCACACTGTGTAAGGCCGAAAGGCAAGGCCTTCCCTTAAACCATGTTTTACAACTTATTCCATCGGCTACCAAGGCAAGCATGAAAAAGATGCACCGTGAGAGAAAAGTTTTACAGCCTCGGGCACACAAAACAGACTTTGCTGCTATATTAATATTTATTTTTATTATTATTATTATTTTTTAAAGATTTCATTCACCTTTAGAGATGGGGAAGGGAGGGAGAAAGGGAGAAACATCAATATGTATTTGCCTCCCATGCACCCTCCACCGGGAACCTGGTCGCACAACCCAGGCATGTGCCCTGACGGGAATCGAACCTTTAACTCTTTGGTTTGCAGGCTGGTGCTCAATCCACTCAGCCACACCAGCCAGGGCTATTTTTATTATTTTAAAAAATGTTTTATTTAGAGAGAGAGAGGAAGGAGAGAGGAAGAAAAACATCAATGTGTGATTGCCTTTTGGGCGCCCCCTACTGGGGACTGGGCGCACAACCCAGGAATGTGCCCTGACTGGGAATCGAACCAGCAACCCTTTGGTTCGCAGTCCAGTGCTCAATCCCCTGAGCCACACCAGCCAGGGCCTGTATTTACTAATCGCGGCATTGTTCTCCATCCAAAACAACTGCAAACCTCCTTTTTACGGTGAAACCTGTGTGTATCTTTTCAAAAGTGACCTGAAATACTAAAAGTCTGAGTGCTTTGAGCACTCAGATGGTACAAGTTCACTTGATGGTACAAGTTCAACCCAACAGGTGTTGAACTTGTCCCATCAGAAATGCGCCGGGAGGCCTTTACTGAGAAGGCACAGGCCAAAGACGCTGTGACGCACCCATGTGCGGGAAGGTGCCCCTGCTGGGCACGACAATGACCGCCCACCCTCTTTTCAAAGCACCCAGGTCAACACGAAGCCAGGGCCCACCTAACCCCATCCTCCCCCCTCCACATCGCTAGTTCTGTGAACAGAAGAAAAACGAGGGAACAGAGAGAGGAGAAAGGTGTGGCGTCGTCGCAGCCTCTGCTTTCTGAATGACAAAAGCCACCCTCACTTCCCCAATTCTGCACCGCAGGGGTGGGTCTGGAGTCGCCAGATTTCTTCCTGGGGCGGCCGAGCAGGAAAGCAGAGAAAACCGGTAGGTCACCTTCAAACGCTTCCCGTCGCCAAGACTAGTTTCCATTTTAAAGGGACCTTTGTCCCTGGCCGCGACCCGGCCCAACCCTTCCCGAAGGGACGGCCCAATCCACACTTTTTAAGCAGAGGTTAACCGGGACGGGAGACGGGTAGTTGGCGCGTTTTCCCAAGTTGGTAACACGGGTGCCGCGGCCCGCGCCCAGGGCGGAGCGTTCTGTTTCCCGACCACGAAACTCAGTTCTGAAAGAGCCCCTCGCATCCCCACATTTGCAAACACACGTTGGTGGGGAGGCACAGAAAGGCATCTCTCCTCGGGTTGGAGTTCAAACTGCACTTGGACAAAGGCGGCCCGCAGTTCTGCGCGCCGGCGCAAGTCTCGGAGAGCCGCGCAACTGGGAGCCGCAAGTCAGTAAATATTGATGGGCTGATGGGAATCGAGACGCCGCGCTGCCAGCAGCTGCTGCTCCTCCGCGTTTCCCGGGGCCAAGGGTGCAGGTCCGGGGGTGCAGGGCGCAGGGGTCCGCAGGGGCAAACAGCGGTGGGCCAGTTCTGGGCACCCGGGGGCGTTTCTGCCGGACCTCGGGGCAGCCCCACAGGTGCGCGCCGCCGCCGCCGCCGGCGAGACTCGTAGTGACTAGAGACCCTGCCGGGCCCCTTCCCGGAGGGGGAGGGGAGGGGACCCGGAACAGAAGCCATTTAAACTCTCCGCGGCGCCGGGAGCCAGCGGGGCTGGAAGCCGCCACAGAGCGGCCGGAGCGGCGCCCGGACCACACGCCCGTGCGGGCCCCGGAGCCCCGCTCCCCACGGCTGATCCGAGCACACGCGCGCCCTGGAGCCGGGGGGGGGGGGACGCGATCGCGCCGCTCCCTCCGCTTCCCCCACCCCCCACTCTAAGCCCCCCCGCCCGCCCGCGGGCTGTCACCGTGCGGATCTCGCGGTCGCCTCACCTTGGTGATGACCAGCGGCTCGCCGTGCTCGCGGCCGCCCTTCACGGTGAAGCCCCACGGGGCGCCGCCGTTCAGCTGCACCTCCACCAGGCGCCCGCCGTCGGCCGTCCGCGCCTCGGCCTCGGCCAGGCGCTCGGGCCGCGCGCGGGGCTCGGCGCCCTCCATGGCGCGGGACGCGCTGGCTGCGCAGCTCCTCAGCCCCCCGGGCCCGCCGGGCCCGCGCCCATGCACTCGGGGAGCCCGGCCTGGCCGTGGGAGAGGAGGCTCCGAGCGCCCTCCCTGCCTCCAGACACAGGCGAACTTGCGCTGCAACTTGAGAGGAAAGTGCCGGCCGGGCCGGGAGGCAGCCGGGAGGACTGGCGGCGGGAGGGCGGGCCCGGAGGGGGCGGGCCGGCGGGGCGGGGCGGAACGAGGAGGAGGGCCGGCGCGCGGGGGGCTCGCTCGGCTCCGCGGGCAGGGGGTGGGGCTCACTCGGGCCGGGCGAGGTGCCGGCAGAAGGAGCAGGGCAGGGAGAGGCGCCCAGGCGCGCGCTCGGGGCCCCCCTAGTACCCGGGGTGGGAAGGGGGCGCGATCAGGGCGCGCGCTGCTCCCCGGGGTTAGGGGCGCGCTCTCGGGACCCGGGGGCCGGGGTCCGTGGCGCGAGGCACCGCCCCTCCGCAGCAAGCGCCGCCCCCGGAGGCTCGGGGCGCGTCAGCCCTCCTCCCGGGAGACCGGGGCGCGGCAGGTGAGTCGGCGGAAGCGCCCGCGCGAGGCGGACTCGGCGGAGGCCGGAGCCCCCGGCGCCTCCATCTTGGAGCGCGCTGCCGCCTTTGTTGGCGCGGGCCGCGGGCGGCCGCGCAGGTGAGGCCGGAAACGGACCGGAGCCGCGCGCTGCTGGCCTGTCCCGCGCGCACGCACCTGGCCCCCCCCGCGAGGGCCCACGCTGCGCGGGCCCCAAGCCCCTACCCGCGGGAAGGGGCGACCCCCGCAGCCAGGACGCCAGCGCTGGACCTGTGCGCGGGAGGGACTGCCCGTCTTTCCACCAACGCCCTCCTGCAGCGCAGACGAGGAATGGCCTCTGGTCGGCCTTTCCGATAGTTAGAGCCCCCGAAGTGGGTGCGTCCAGGCCCTGTTCTCACTGTCATGGAATTCTGTCGCTGGGACTTGGTGACCCACGGCGGCATCCCCTAGGAAGGCGAGGTGCTGGTGTAGTACGACCGAGTGTTTGCGACTGGAACGCGTGCCACCTAGTCCCGCTCCCTCTCCAATTTCCGAGAAAGTGCGGACTATGAAGAAACATCTGCCTTGCTAGGCATTGGCACGCTTTGCAAAGCGCGAGTTTGGTTGTTTGCAGCCGCGTGGCAGCACGCTGACCCACACCTGTTCCCCTCTCCCCAGCAGCTCCACCCGGGGAACTGTGAGCAGGTGACGACGCTGGGTGTAGGAGGCAAGGACCGGACGGGACAGCACCGGGCAGAGTGTGAGGGGCCCGGGTCCTTGCCCGGGCTCTGCCGGGGTAGAAGAGCCCGGGCGAGCAGTGTGAGCTCGGGTCTCTTTCTTCAGCGGCCAAGTGGCGACCGATCTGCACTGCGTGGTCTGCACTCCGCATCCAGGCCATTGACACCAGGACGCGCAGACCTACCTGGCGCCTACCTGGCTGAGCCTTGCTAGCTGCCCCGTGAATACCTCCCAGCCTGCAGTGTCCTGGATGCCTGTAGTTACAGGAATGATTCCATTTTTTTCCTCCCTGTTTAAACCGAGACTTAAGGAAGGCGCATCCCTGGGGGAATCCATCTCGAGTGTACCTTGGCTGTGGTGGCCACGGGAATCCACACAGACTGATGACATTGCACAGAACTAAACAGACGCAATCACATATGGGGAGTGCGTGTAAACGGGGAAGCTGAATAAACTCGGCACATTGTATCATTGTATCAGTGTTAATGCATTGCTGTGTAATGTTGTCAGATGTTACCACTGGGAGAGGCAGGGGGCGAAGGATGCCCCTGTTTTATTTGTTACATCTACATGTGAATCTGTGATCATCTCCAGATAAAAAGTTTCCTTTACAAAGTGGATGCCCGTGATGAGCCAAATGAGAAAGGACCCTATACACACACCCAGAGTTTCCGGAAGTCCCCTGGTCCCCAAAGAGCCACCTGCTTCCATCCCTGCGAAGGTGGCGTGGACTTAAATCCCAGTTCTCACCCAGGGCTGAAATTCCAGCCACTAGATTCATTAAAGCAGGGACACCAATTTCATTGTCTCTGTCCATCGCAGCCAAATTCATCTTTAACATTTTACATTGTGTAATCACAATCAGATTACCCATCTGTCACGGGAAAGGGTTGTCCTGTGGTTGCTTAAACTGCAGTGGAAATGTACATCCACCCATAACACCACTTTGCTCAGCTTTTTTAAAAAAGATTTTATTGATTTATTTTTAGAGATGCAATGAGAGGGAGAAAGAAACATGGAAACATCCAAGTGTGGTTGCCTCTTGTGCGCCCCCTACTGGGGACCTGGCCCACAATCCAGTTGTGTGCCCTGACTGGGAATCAAACCGGCCGCCTTTTGATTCAAGGGCCGGCACTCAATCCACTGAGCCACACCAGCTGGGGCTGAGTTGTTTTGATTTGTTTTTTAAACGTCACATTAGGCATCCCTCCCCACTTTGCATCATTTCAATATGTATAAGGCTGCAGTCTGCATATTGATAAACATGCTGAAAGGCAGTGGCCCCCATCCTGGGCCGCCCGCTGCCCGGTAGATGCCCACCGGTCAGACCCACCCCAGCCTTGGCGTCTGGAAGTGCACAGTGGACCACAGCACCTGCACTGCCCTCACTCTGAGACGCCTGCTCATGTCCCTGACACCAGCACAAGAGCCCGTCGAACATCTTCTGAAAACCTCAACTTCTGAAAGCCCTCCTCCTGACGAATCAACCTTGGACCCTTCTGGAAGGGTGTGGCGTGACATTGGGACCAGGGTGGACTTCTCAAGGTGACAGCTTTCTTTTCCAAGAACTCACAACGCCGCCACAGCTCCTGAGACCGAGATGTTCACCGCCATCCAGCTGCTGTTCTTTGGGGGAGCCAGGGGCCCTCTGCTGGAGTGCAGCGTCTCACCCCTGGGGTGTTCAGCTTTACGGCATGGTGGTATTTCTTAAAAACATTTTATATATTTATTTTTAGAGGAGGAGGGAGAGAAACATCAATGTGTGGTTGCCTCTCACACCCCCTACTGGGGACCTGGCCCGCAACCCAGGCTTGTGCCCTGACTGGGAATCGAACCAGTGACCCTTTCGTTTTAAGACAGACCGGCACGCAATCCACTGAGCTACCCCAGCCAGGGCTCATGGTGCTATTTTTGTAAAAGGCAGGTTGAGGCATTTCCTGTTTGCCCCAAAGTGACCCTGAGTGAGGGTCCTTATGCATTCAGAATGCACAGGAGAGGTAGCAGTGAAGGGACCTCACACCAAATGACCGGGCCCTTCGTCACCAACGTCGGTCAGCTTGATTTCTAGAGAATGTTATTGGAAAGGGTGCAATTTCACTTCGAGGCCGGTCCTGTCCCGGCATGAAAGCCAAATGCCCCAAGACCCCGCCCGCCCCGCCCCTCCCTACGGGTTTGCCCCTGGGGTGTTTTCAGTTGGAACATTTACAGACAGACTTCCTCCTGGGCAGGGCGGTGAGGGACAGACCCTGGTCCCCACCTGTGCTGCCCCCTTACCTTGCGTGGGGAGTTTGCATCCGAGGGCCCCGCGCTTGGCTGAGGAAGAGAGCAGTGGGCACCACTAGGAGATGGTCGCCGTGGTTAAACTTTTGCGCACTTCTCAGGGCCTGCCTCACCCCTGCCCCGAGGGATTGCGTGGCTGGCCTGAGGTCACGGACCATTTCCCCCAAGGACGCGTGAGCTTCTTGCTGTCCAAGTCTCCCCTTCTGTCCACCCAGGTAGGGCAGTCTTCACTGAGCAAGCGGGTGGACCTCCGTCCCTGGACATTTGGCCACATCGGGGGCCGGGGCTCCCTGCACCTGCAGACACCCACTTACAGGAGAGAGGCCGAAACCTATGGGGAAGCTTTGCCCATAAAACCCAGTGCCCCTCTAAAGTTCCTGCTATGCTTACAAATGCTCTTTTAAAAAATATTTCTAGAGAGAGGGGAAGAGGGGATGGGAAGGAGAAAGGGTGGGAGAGAAACATCAGTGTGTGGTTGCCTCTTGAGGGCCCCCTACTGGGGGCCTGGCTCACGCCCCAGGCATGTGCCCTGACTGGGAATAGAACTGGTGACCCTTTGCTTCACAGGCCAGCGCTCAATCCACTGAACTACACCAGCCAGGGCAGGAATGCTCTTTAAAATGTGGTATGTAACCAGCCAAGTTACCTGCTGGGAACTAAAGAAGACTAAATACATGGCAGTTAAAACATATATTTAGGTGACTTTTTGAGAGAGAGAAACATCAATATTTTGTTCCACTTATTTATACATTCGTTGGTTGTTTCTTTTACACACCCTGAGCGAGGATGGAACCCACAACCGTGGTGTATCCAGACGACGCTTTAACCAACTGAGGTACCCAGCCAGGGCTGAACGTATGTTTAATACAAAATTTTCCCAATAGGAAATGAGTGAATGAAAAACTAACAGACAAACTGAACCAACTTTCAAAGAATAATCAACAACTAATCCATTTTATGAAATATATATACGTACATATAACACAACACCTATTTTTTCAAATCAGGAGCACTTCAGAGGGAGTATCTAGCTGGCGCTACTGAGCATGTTTTATGTTTTAAAATACCATTTTAGAAGGACATTGGCCAGTGTTCAGTTTGGATTTTTCTTCCTTTCTTTTTTTTTTTTACAAAGTAGCCAGTGAGCATGCGTTTCTGGAGCCTTGCTGAGGCGGGGCAGAGGTGCGGCAGGAATGTGAAGGATGCAGGAAAAATGGAACGTTAACTTGAGCCGTGAAGAAATTGCCACCAGCAGGCCTGAAACAATTAGAGTGCAATTCACCGCCCAAGGGCTTGTGACTGCCAGGTTTTTCGACAGGACACAAAGCAAAGAGGAGAGAGGGAAGAAAAAAAAAAACAGTTACGAACGCCAGAGGGGAATTTTTAAAAATTTTTCATCTTATGTGATAGAGATCGCCAATGGACACAGAAGTAAAACTCTCACTTTGTCCCTGCCCACTCTTTTTTTCCCCTAAAGTATTTCAAAGCACAGGCAGGACGGAAGGAACAAGGGAGCTATTATCTGGAAGGCTGACAGGAAGCGGGGCCAGGGTTCAGCGGGTGGGGACCCGTGAGCCAAGGAATGTTATTTTGTGGGGAGGTGGAGATTTCGTCAATGAGGGTCGAAGTTGCTAAATGAGTCTGGTTCATTTCGACTCTCTCTCCCCACCGGGCCCCACTCAGCTTCCCGTCCCCCGGGCAGAGGGCGGGGGTGGGGTTGGGGGGGAAATGGCGGGGGGTGGGGGGGTGGGCATCCAATACAAGAGGTATCCTGGTTGAAGTGACTGAGTTCAGTGGCGGCTGACCCATGGCCATTCCTGGCCCAAGAACAGGTGAGGGAAGAAAATCATGAGATTCTTTGGGGCACGTGGAAATCTCAGGTGCCCCCCCCCCTTACTGCTAGCGTCCTAGGGCTGGCCATTGTCACAAATCGCCATAAACAGTTTAACAACATGAGAATTTTTTTTCTTGCCTCCCAGAGGCCAGAAGTCTGAAGCCAAGGTCAGCAGGGCCGTGGCCCCTCCGGAGGTGGTAGGGGACAAGCTGTCCCCTGCCCCTTTCTCCAGGTGTGGTGGCTGCTGGCATTCCTGGGTTGGGGGCCGCGTCCCCCCCATCTCCTCCACCTCTGTGGTCACACCCAGCGCTCCCACCTTCCATCTGGGCCCCGGCTCCTTCTGCCCCTCTCCTACAAGATGCCACTGCAAGGCCCCTTTAGGACCCTCCCTGGTGAATGAAGGGTGAGCTCTTCCTCTCAAACTGCCGAATCCAATCCCACAAGCCAAGAGTGACAGTTCCGGGCTCAGGAGTGAAGACCTGTTATCTTTGGGGACCGGAGGGAGCCTGCGGCCTGCAGACACCCAGATGGAAACCGGGCCAGGTGCTCCGAGGCACCTCGGTAGGGAGAGCTGCGGGTAAAGCCCCAAAGGTCAGGCTGCTTGCTCATTTTAAGCTGCTGCAGAGCTGGCTGGTTATCTGCTTCCCCCCAGGGTGACCGGGGAAAGGCTTGTCGTGCCCTGAGTTCATAAAGATAGGAGAGTGACAAGGACAGAGAGTGAAAGAAAGGGACTTTACGACTGCAATTAGCAGGATCCCCATGAAGTTAGGGATCCTTTTGCTGACTAAATTGCAGTACAAACATGTACAAACAAATGCACAGCCTGAGTCCCCTACATCACGCGGTGGGGTGGGGGGACTTGTGAAAACCAACAGGAGCCACTTCGAGCAGCAGAAACATATTTCCACCTGCAAGAACCCGGCGACTTCTCCAACACACAGCTTTTCCCGAGCGCAGGCCGAAACTTCCAGGGCTTCCGTCTGATATCACTTGTGGTTGCAGAATGCCCTTGCAGCTCCATGCACTGACACAAAAAAATAATAAAGATAGTTCTATGAGAGTCTTGGCCAAGGTAGATGAATGCGCACTTCTGACCGGCTCTGTCGGGACCGTGGAATACAGTGAGCCGGCCAGCAGAGCCTGAGGATGGTGGGCTCTCAGTAAAAGTTATTTCTTCCCTTCCTTTTCACCCCACAAACTGAGCACGGCCACACACACCCGGGAGACAGGACCGTCTGTGTGTCCTGAGAGCTCAAATAATTCAGGGGCTGCAGCAAGGAGGGGCCGAGACCCCCTGCTTCTTGGCGGCCTGCTGATTTGAATTCAGGAAATTCCTCGCCTGGCCGCAGGCCAAAATATGTGGTTCGGTGGATCTATTGGCCTGAACTTCAAGGAATGTAGGAGTGTTTGGGCAGCAGCAGAAATATCAGGAAGTAGCAGAGGGCCACTCTCTGAAAGGTGGTACAGTTTTGACTACAAGAAACAAATTCCTTCTGGGCACATAAGCAAAGTT